GCAGCATTTTTAAAATACTTTTCTTTTTCTAAATTTATAATTCATCTTTATTTTTCAGAATGTTATACATATATACACAATCAAATATGATCATATCCATTCCCATTTCTGCCCTCCAAGTCCCTTTATATGTCTCCCAACACATCCCCCTCAACTTTATGACTCTTTAAAAATAACCTCCAATTTGTTGTTGCATGGGTTTGGGACCATCCACTGGAGCATGAGAAACCTACCAGTGGGAACATCATGAAAGAAGAATGATTTTCACTCCTAGATAAGCTGCCAACTGCCAAAAACCCCTTAGGAAGGGATAGGGACTGAAGAGCAGATCTACGCCAGAATTTTGGCTGGCTTGATCTTATGCAAGTTTTATGCAGGTAATCACAGCTGCTGTTTCCTTTAACTTTTGTGATACTAAGGACTGAACCCAGAACTTTGTGCACAAGTGTTCTATCACTGAACTAAAGTACTCTACCACATTCCCTAGCCCTCTTTGAGATAAGCAATCCAGGCTGTCCTAAACCTTACTCTGTAGCCTAGATAGGCTTTGAACCTGTGATCTTACTGTTTCAGCCTCCCTGAGTAGCTGAAATTACAGGCCTGTGCTACCAGGCCCAACTTGTAATTGCTTTTAATACCTCACAAATTACTGGATCCTAACCATTTTAATTTTTGTTCTTTTCTAACCTAAGTTATTTACTGCCTATGATTTCAGGTCCTTATTTAACAAACAAGTAGGTAGGAGAGATAGCCTAAGATTTCATCCAATTTTGCATGTATTTATTCATGTATGTGTGTAGTTATTATACATGTGCCACAGCAAAAATGCAGGGGTCAGAGTACAACTTTCACAAGTTGGCTCTCACCTTCCACAATGTAGGTGCTAGAGATTGAACTAAAGACATCAGGCTTAGTGGTAGGTGCATTTACCTGATGAGCCATTTCCCAGGGCCATTCTTCTAGTTTTAACATACTTAAGACTTTTAAAGCCAGACATGGTGGTTCATGCCTATAATCACAGTGCTAGGAAGGTAAAAAGCAGGAGTTCAAAGCTATCCTGGGCAACACAATAAAACCTTGTCTCAAAACAAATAAAAACCACTCAGATTTTTAACTTAATGGAATACAATACTATTCCTGTCTTGCAAAAACAAAACAAAACAAAACTATATTCAAGTATATATTCAGGTTGGAGATATATTTCAGTAGTAGGTTCAAATGCTAATAATGGGAGAGTGGGGGAAACATACCTTCAATGTGAAAGAGAGGTATTTTTTCTTTCCAACCCTTTACTTATTACCCTTAGAATTGTCCTTTAATTTGGACCCAAAAATAAAAGTTCAAAACATTGACCTACTAATACTTTGATCAAAAACAAAATGAGCAGGGCAGTGGTGGCGCATACTTTTAATCCCAGCACTCAGAGGCAGAGGCAGAGGCAGGAGGATCTCTGTGAGTTTGAGACCAGCCAGGTCTAGAGTTCCAGGACGGCTCCAAAGCTACAGAGAAATCCTCAAAATGTCTCAAAAAAATCAAAAGAAAAAAAAAAAAAGAAACAAAACTACTGCCTGACTACTGTTATAAAGTGTTCTTATAGAAGTCACATTTGCTTATTTTTATTATCGAAGGGAATATTTTTTTAAATCAAAATTGAAAATTTTTCAGAAGCTTGGTTAAAAGGCATGAAAGTTCTGAAAACCAGGACTTTATTCTATAAGCTAGGATCCATTTGGTTCTGCTCCCAAATAGTGAATTGGATTAAAAATAATAGAAAAGCTGAGGAGCTTTAAAGTTATTGTGACAGGAAAAAAATTGAGCTTTTTACACTGTATTACTAGTTCCAAGACAATAAACTATCAGTCCTTAACGATAAAGGGAAAAACAACCAACCACAGTCTGAAAAGTCCTTTTAAATGTGAAATAACTAAGTGCTGCTAAGTGCTATGTTATAGAGTTTGCCTAGCATGCAAAAGGTCCTGAGTTCACGTGGCAGTGGTGGTGCACGCCCTTAATCCCAGCACTGCAGAGACAGGAGGATCTCTGAGTTCAAAGCCAGCCTGGTCTACAGAGCTAGTTCTAGGACAGCTAAAGTTAAGGCTGTTACACAGAGAAACCCTGTTTCAAAAAACAAAAAAAAAGGTCCTGAGTTCAATCCCCAGAACAAAAATATACATATTCATACATACATACATATTTTGTAAGTGAAGTTAACCCATAAAATTCTCAATACTTAATGAATCCAGTACTTTAAAATAGGTGGTTGGGAAGGACCAGACATGGTGGCTAATAATACCCATAATCCCAGCACTTAGGAGGTTGAAGCTTTAAACAGGTTGCCAGGCTGATCTATAGAATAGATTCAAGTTAGCCTGGGCTGTCTCAAATAAATAAATAGATAAATGAATGAATGAATAATAGTAGCAATAAAAAGTAGAAGCACACATTCATAAAAGAAACTGTAATAGAATTAAATTCCAGGATCAGTAACAATAGATCCTTGGCACAAAAAAGAAGTGTCTTCCTGTAAATCAATTACATCTGAATTATTGATTATGATTGACCAGGCATATTTTGACAAATTTATTTTAAAAACAAATAGCTGGGCGGTAATGGTGAACTCCTTTAATCCCAGCACTCAGGAGGCAGAGGCAGGCAGATCTCTGAGTTCGAAGCCAGCCTGGTCTACAGTCGCAGGACGGCCAGGGCTATACAGAGAAACCCTATCTCGGAAAAAAAGAAAAAACAAAAACAAATAAACAAACAAAAAAAAAACCCACACACACAACCATTTATTTCCATTAGAGTAAATTTAAAGCATATAGGGAAGTAGAGAGGAAAGCTTGATTAACTACCTTGCACCGAACAATCATGTACTGGTAATTGTTGAAGCTGGATGACTGCTACATTCTCTCACCCTCACTAGATATTTAGAAGCAAATTCCAGACATTATTCCTTTCACATTTCAGATGGCCTTGGGTCATTTAGAAACCAAGTCATCTATTTACTAGTTCTTGGGTAAATGAAGTTCTGAGATATTTCAGTTTTACTTTCTTTTTTTTTTTTTTTTTTTTAAAGATTTATTTATTTATTATGTATACAGTGTTCTGCCTACATGCATGCTTGCAGGCCAGAAGAGGGTACCAGATCTCATTACAAATGGTTGTGAGCCACCATGTGGTTGCTGGGAATTGAACTCAGGACCTCTGGAAGAACAGGCAGTGCTCTTAACCACTGAGCCATCTCTCCAGCTCCAGTTTTACTTTCTAATAAATACTATTTTGGTTTGGTCCATTTTCTTGACAAGAAATTAGCAGTGACACTTTCATCTATAATATAGCTGAAATTCTGCTTCCACTGTTAACACATGTTCATTTTCTGGTGAGAACAAGGGCTAACAAACTGATATTTACATAGGCGCTTTCTAATATTCGTTACTATTGCTATAAATCAAGCAATTAGTAAATTAGTGTCCAAACTAATCTATTTAAGCCTAGAATATAGCTGCACTTTATTTTTAAAGTGAAAACTTCCCTTTGAGATTAGGGAAAGTTTGGTTCAAAATCTTTTATATCCCTGGCATTGTGGCACAAACTTGTAACCCTAGTATTCTGGAGGCTAAGACAAGAGGGACCAAAATTTTCAGGCCAGTCTGGACTATATTTTAGGACACTGTTACAAAAATCTTTTTTAACAAGATTACAACAATGGTAGTAATTACACAACTTTCAAAGCACTTCTACAATTTTGCATGGACTTTTACTATTTACTACTGACTGAACAGGATCAAGACAGCCACTCTAATAAGCAGTGTTGGATCACAGGAGTCACATGGCTTAAGCATCTGTAGGTGGTAGAATAGTAGGTGCAGACTGTACCTTCCTAGTCCCAAAGCACTTAAATGGAAAGAGACAAGAGAGTTGGGGGTCAGGAACTGGGTTGTTGTTTTAATGTTTTTAAGAATGTCTCAACGCTGGGCGGTGGTGGGTGGTGGTGGCACACACCTTTAATCTCAGCACTCGGGAGGCAGAGCCAGATGGATCTCTGTGAGTTCGAGGCCAGTCTAGTCTACAGAACGAGATCCAAGACAGGCACCAAAACTCCACAGAGAAACTCTGTCTCGAAAAACCAAAAAAAAAAAAAAAAAAGCCGGGCGGTGGTGGCGCACGCCTTTAATCCCAGCACTCAGGAGGCAGAGCCAGGCGGATCTCTGTGAGTTCGAGGCCAGCCTGGTCTCCAAAGCGAGTTCCAGGAAAGGCGCAAAGCTACACAGAGAAACCCTGTCTCGAAAAACCAAAAAAAAAAAAAAAAAAAAAAAAAAAAAAGTGTATCACTATGCCTTGAACTTGAGACTCTCCTGCCTCCCTGCCTCAGCCTCTGGAGCAGTTGGGACTTACATGCATGTCCTGCCACACCTGGAAAGCATTTCCGTTTTATTATTTACTAAATGCCTATGCTGCTATCAAGTAAGCTGTATCTTAAGGCACAGAGTTCTTATCTAACAACCTGATCTCGGAGTTGGAAACACACAAGGCAGTTCATTATTGCAGGGACTCCGATGAGACTGAAGTGCACAAGGAAAAAAAGGTTTGATATTTACTTAAAGTAAAAAATTTCCCCAAAGGCTGAGGATATATATATAGCTCAGTGGGAAAGCACTTGCCCAGGCCCGGGGTTCAATCCCCAATTCAAGAGGGTGGGAGGGAGAAACCCTTCCCCAGTAATTCCACGTTCCCTGCCAGACATTAAATATACAAGTTTGTACTTAAATGACTTTCACCTCATGCCTGGTAGCAATCTCTCTTGACACCAATAGTTCCTATCTTTTCCAAACACCTAACTACAAGCTCCACAATCTCCCAATTTCAACCTCTTCGGAAGCTGGCCTCCCTCTACCACTCAGATTCAGAGATTACAAGTAAAGAATGAACTCGATAAACGGGCTTAACCGAGCCAAATTTGAGATCCAAACGACCGACTATGAAAGGAGATGGGACATTACCTGCAATTCACACCAGGCGACTTCCACAGTGGTTTCCGTGTCCAGACCTTTGTAGACCGTCTTAAAAGACCCTCTGCCGATTTCGATGTCAAATTTGAGAAAGCGACCGTCATTGGACATGCCCACGGCCTTGGTCTCCAGCTCTTCGATATCATCCTGTTGCTGGATGTTCCGTTCCTCCTGCTGCTCTTTAGCGCTGCCGCCGCCGCTGCCACTTCCACCTCTTGACGGCGGTGGCTCCTCTTTGCCCCCCACGAGGCTGGGCTGGGACACCGGGCGGTCTTGGCTGGTACTGCTGGGGACGGTCGTGGTGGCCGAGCCTACAACGGCTTGTTCCCCAGGGGAGGCAGCAGCTGAGGGCTGCCGAGACACCTGGGAAGCAACGGCGGCGGTCAAAGTTTCCTCTCGGTGAGGCTCGGGGGGAGCGCTCGGAGGCACCGCTGCGGGCACACTCGGTTGGGGGATAGACAGAGGGAGGCCCGGCAGCTCCAACGCGGTGGCATTGGAGTCGCAGATGACGCTCCGGCGGAAGAAGCGGTGCTCCGTCGGGGTGGTGGTGGCGGCCGCCCCCCGGCTGTCCTTGTCCATAGTGTGACGGCGGCGCCGGTATTCCTCGGTTCTGCCAATCCCAGAGTCGGCGACCGTGGCCCCCAGCTTCTCGCCCACGGAAGAATCGGAGCTTGAGCCATTCTTGGGGACGGGCGCCGGAGGCGAAAGGAAGCCCGGGGTGCCGCTCTGCTTCTCGGCCGCGCCGTCAGACATGGTTGGTCCGCTGGAGTGAAGAGTGCGGGCTCGGATTCGTGAATCAAGAAGGGGGACAGGAAGGCCCGGGAGAGCCCCCAAGAAGTGCTGGGCAGCGCTCCTCCGGCGGGCTCGGAGCCACCGGACGACTCCCACTCAGCACTGACGAGACGGCCCGAGGGCGACGCGGGACTCTGGGTCCGGCTGCGGCGGCTGCGGCGGCTGCTGCTGCTGCTGCTGCTGCTGCTGCTGCTGGCACCGAGGCTGCTGCGGCTCACGGGGCGGGCTCGTCGGCGGGCGAGGCAGGAGCGGAGCCACGGGGGTTAGCGCCGCACAGTCCGCATCCATCCTGCAGCGAGCGGTGGCCGGTAGGGCTGGGGCAGCAGAAGCGCCGCAGTCATGAGGGGCAGGGCGCGGGGCTGGCTCCCGGGCAAGCGGATGCGACGAAAGCGAAGACGGCTAAGCTCCCGCCGCCGCCGCGGCCGCCGCCGCCCGCCGAGCACGGCGGGATAGGCCCTGAGGGCGGAGGCAGAGAGCGCGAGGGACGAGCCCCGACGCCGGGCGGTGGCAGCCCGGGGCACAGGAGTGGGAGGGGCCGCGCCGGGGAAGGAGGGCCGCGGCCCGGGTTCCCGGTCACTCGGCCGCCGCCTCAGGCAGCACGCGCCCCAGCGAGGGGACCAGTCTCACAGGGCGTCCATCACCAGACGCCGAGGGCCGAAGCCTCGGAACCTCGAAGACTGAGGAGCGGCCCCCCCCGTCCCCGAGGCCTCCCCGCCCGCCCCGGGCCTGGCGAACCTCTTTCCCCTCTCTGGCCGGCGCCGGCGGCAGAGGAGGGAGGGAACTGTGGGGAGGGGAGGGCCGCTCGCCGCGGGGCCCGGGCTCCGCTACTTCTCTGGCCAGGAGGAGAGAAGACCGAAGGAACTGGGAGGAGGGGGATAGGGAGAGAAGAGAGCAGTCACCCCGCTAGGCGCCTTCTGTCAGCGAAGAAGGGAGTGCGGAATGGCCGAGCAGAAGAAGCGCGTCCGCCCGGGAAACTCTCCGCTTTAAATGGCGCCGATGTCTGAAGCCTCCACACAGCCCGCTTGGACCCCGCCCCCCGCTGCCCGGGGCGGCCCCGCCCACATCGCTCTCGGGGGCTCTCGCGCAGGCGTGCCGATCTCGAGGCACAATGGGATTTGTAGTTTCAGAGTGGAAACCGTGAAAGGGACCGGGAAGGAGGGCTCCTACTACTTCCGTGATGCCCTGCGAGTGCTCTAGCCTAGTGCCTCCTGGGAATTGTAGTTCCATTTTTGAAAACCGCCCCTCCTGAAAGCCTGATGGGAGCGTCATCGTGGGTCGCTCAATTCCAAAGTCAGTGCTCCCTACCAAAATCACTATTCAGGAATCAATTGCAAAAGAAGAGGAGAAAGGAAAGGAAAAAAAGAAATGGGGAGAGAACGAGAGGCTTCCGTCATGTTCTGCTTAAATAGCTCATAGAGCTGCCATGCAATGAAAAATGATCTGTTGTTCGCCTTTAATGGAGAGCCTCCTCAGTGTTGAGTGACTAGGGGTGTGGGAGTGGAGAGGAAGGCAAAGCTGGATAACGAGAGCCTGAGATCGAAGACTCACGGGAAACTTGGTGAAGAGTACATAAAAGATCACTATTGATTAAATGGGTTAGGGAAGACACGTATATTTCATCCTTCTCCCCTCCACAACAACTTAAGACCACATGCTCGGCACCAGTTCCCAAACAAGTACTTTGGCTGCGAAGATGGGCTGCCTACTAAATAAAACCGAGGATTAGCGCGAAGCCTCTTTGCTTTGCCAGAAACTTAACTGGGGGGGAGGGGGCAGGCTGGTGGCAAGCATGGGAGGAAGTCGGGTTCGAACATAGTCTACATCTTTGATCTTCGATTACAAACTTAAGAGGGCATAGTTGACTTTCCGCCTCTATAGTTGGGTAAAATTTATTTACCTTTTGTTTTGTTTTTTCCGTCCCTCGATGGCTTAGTAAAACAGCCCTTTCTTTACTAGAGTTGCCTATCTGTACATATGTGATTTATACCAATCGGGAAACCTAGAAACGTACAGTTTACAGTAATGGAATTCTTTTCTTCAAAATATCCTTAGTGCTTCCTGGACCACCTTTGCTACTACCTAAGATTATGGTTGTGATGAGCACCAGGGGGCACCAGACAGAGTAGGAAGACAAATTTATGAGCCAGATGGCAGTTACAAGTCTTAACCCAACCGGTGAGAGCGGGAAGCGCTTAAACGTACGCAACCGCACCCGAGCGTGGATACGCTGCAGCCTCAGCCCGGGACTGGAGCGAGCTCTGAAGCCCGCATTCTTAGTCCAAGACCCACCCCAGTGAGAGGAGCAGTAGTTTGGAAGCAGCTAGAAAATTCGTTAACTCACGGTATCTGGATAAACTCCGCTTAGAGAAGTCTTGCTATATGATTAATATTAACTTATCAGAAACGTTTAAAAAGAAGTCAGCACTCCCCCCCACCTTTTTTTCCCTTACCGAAAGCTACACTTTAATCTTTAGAGTTTGTTTGAAACCAATGGTTGTTAGATTTCATAAAGGTGGCAGATTGTGAACACTTTAAAATACAAATGCAGTAGGGACAGCGAGTATACTGAAATATTAGGGCTCTACTGTTTAAGAAAATCATTATTTCCGTATATGAATGATAAGTCTATTTTAGTAAATGTAATTAATGGTTTATCTCCAGTCACAAACCTAAAGTCAGCAAGTGAAGAAATGACTGTGAAGCGCATTTTTGTGTTACTTCTTGAGGCTGCTGATTATACTTTTCTCAATTGTTGCTTTACCAGAGAAAAGTTTGTTTATAACACAAAGAAACTAATTATACAGTGGTGAACTAGAAGACCAGTAAATAGCAATGTTTATTTTTTGCCTATATAAAAAGAAATTAGGGTATGTCTGTATGGGTAGTCATGAGTTTTGTCTATCTTTGTTGCTTATTCTTATTTGCTAAACCCTGAAACTTTGGTTGCATGGCAATGGGCACAACTTCCTTAACTATAACTATGACCTGTCAACATGTCATTTCAAAAAGTCATTTTAAATAACTTAATAACCGTTGACTGTAAAGCCACACTTATCCACATGACAACTTTTCCTACTTAGCTTTACTGTGAAAACAGATATACTTTTGAGTATAATCACTGAGTGCTGGTTAGACCTAGAGCTTGTACTGTAGTGTGGCTGTTTACTACACTTACTTGTTCATTTCTCTTTAGGATTCTTACCCACCCAAGTAAGCTGATAATTTTCTGTTAACCATGACTATAATTCCTGATAGTACTTTTCCTTTCTCTGGCATTTCAATTATCAAGTTCTCTTCCATCCCCACAAAACAAGGGACTAGAGGTATCTGAAAGAGTTCAGCATACAGTGAATGCACTAAATATGGACATTTGACACATTGCCATTTAGGTACTTAAGAATACAAATATTTTCTTCTTTCTCATCATATTTTGTGTTGCCTCCTATTCTCGTTCAATTTCTTGATTTATGCTTCTTTCTATTTCCCATCCAAGCATCTGTTATGTTTACAGTCTCTTGCCATTGATAACTTACCAGCAATGAAAGTCAGCGGCAGCTTTAGCTTAGGCAGTGGCTGAAATAAGCTAAACACAGACATCTATCTACCTGACCTTACATGTCACTTTGGTCAAAGGGTAGCTTCTTGGATTGTGGGCAAAAAGATACCATGGAGAGTCTCTCTCTTTTTTGTCTCCTTTTCCGTGTTCCTTGAATTTCCCATGAGTAAGTTTTGTTTTATTTCTGTCATTTGCAGCTCTGTTTGGCCTTATTTCAAACTCTGGCTCCTGTTAACTGATTTACAACAGCTTACTATTTCCAGGTTTAATGTGGATAGTACGAATATCACCTGGAATGTTATTTCATTCGAGAAACCTCTCTGACCTCTTTACCTAGAAATAATCTTTTCTCCCCTCAAATTTCATTATATGTTACTGTTACTTCTGCGTCTTAGGTCACCATCTAAAGTGTATTGCTTTTATTTAGGTGCATGTCTATATTCTTCCGTCATTTTGTTCTGTAAAATAACATCTACCATTGATCATGCAGTTACTTGTGTGTCAAGCTCTTTATAAAATGAAGCCTACAGTTGTATAGCTAGGTCTGTTTGAGGGGTCCCTGGCAGTGTGATCGAGATCTATCCCTGGTGCATGAGCGGGCTTTCTGGAGCCTATTACCTATGGTGAGACACCTTGCTCACCCTTGATGCAGGGGGGAAGGGTTTGGTCCTGCTTCAACTGAATGTACCAGGCTTTGCTGTCCCCTCATAGGAGGCCTTACCCTTTTGGAGGAGGGGATCGGGGGTTTGCAGGGGAAGAAGAAGGAGCAGGAGGAGGGATGAGAAGGGGATCTGTGGTTGGTATGTAAAATGAATAAAAAAAATTTTGAATGAAAAAAATGAAGCCTATTTGAACCTCACAACTACTCAGGAGGTAAGCCTTTTAATATTCACTTTATGGGCAAAACCCTGAGGAATAAAAAGATTAATATGGAAAGATGGCTCAGCAGTTAAGAGCACTTATTACTCTTCTGGTAGACCCCTTTGATTCCCAGTACCCACGTGGTGGCTCACAACTGTCTGTAACTCCAGCTCCAGGGGATCAGATGCACTTTTCTGACATCTATGAGCACAAAGTGTGCACGTGGTGCACAAACATACTTGCAGGCAAAACATGAAATGAAATAAAATTAAAACTAAGGTGTTGTCGAAGACAGGAGCCTGAATTCAGGCCCAACTAATCTGCCCTTAGAGCTTGTGTCCTAACTACTGGGCCCTAGCGTCCTCCAGTAATGCCTTCTGTACATTACAGGCACTAAAGACCCTTAATTAATTTGTGAATCAATTAATCAATGCAACAAAAGGCTGTTGAGTAGCTGTCTATAGACCATGCCAATTTCAGAAACTCCTTCTGACCCACACATAGTATTAAGGCAGCTAAGACTGCAAAGGATTTAGGAATAAAATCAATCTGGGCATTACTAAAACAAAACTGTACCAATACTAACACTGGCAACATTAGAATTAACCAAAGCCACTGCTTCACAAACCCAAGTAGACTAAGCTGAGTTTAACTTCTATAAAA